ATGGATGGACGGATGGACGGATGGATCTGTTAATTTTCACTAACCTGGAAGCAAATTTCTTTTTCAAGGTCCTTGAAGTCATTGCTCGAGGAATCTAACTATTGATCTTTCCAAGCAGGTGATACTAAAACGACTTTGATAGAGAACTTTTTACCCATAGGATCTGAAAAGAAAAAAAATCCATAATTATTGTTGGTATCAATTTTCAAGTATCTTTATCAACCGTTTTCATAATTAATTCATAGCTCAATAGAACCCTCAAGTTGTGACGTATTTCCGGATCCAATCAAACAAGAGAATCGCTAAAATCTTGCCACAAATTATTCGCAGAATTTATTCAGTACCTTAAACAATTAAATATGTAAGCAATTCGATATGAAAAAAATATGAAAAAATACAGAAAAATGTCTAAAGAAGTGATAATAAGTTTAAACCCGGAAGTCGTTTTTGGTTAGAAATACGCCTATAGAAATCTTGTGCGTGAAGGAGTTTATCAATCGTAAATTGATTTTCCCAATTTGATAAAAGTTTTAAAGTTAAAAGTTAAAAGTTTAATATGATACGTGCGAATCAACTAAACAAAATAAAGTGTGCAAACGATCCTGATAGTTATAGGAAACGATACTATAATAAAATGTCCTATTACGAAGCAGAGCTTTTCTCTTCAGCTATCTTAATACACTGCTGAGTGTCAATCCATCAAAGGATTGAATGAGCCATGACATCCCTCTCCGTAAAATGCTATCTAGTATAATGATAATAATAATGATAATAATAATAATAATAATAATAATAATATTTATTTGTATAGCGCTAAATCCACTTATTGCTCAAAGCGCTCACTATAAAAAATAATACATAATTTAACAAAGCTAAATAACAATAGTATAAATCTACTAATGGTCTATCACAAATCCTGTGCTCTGATTGGCTGAGCTAGTAGTGGTCTATGAGTTATAGACCCTTAGAAGAGAAAAGTGCCGGTGTTGAAAAGCAAAACAACGAAAACAAGAAAATATTTCAGCCGTTTATACTAAAGAAATTACACCGCTAACTCGCCCTCATGGTGTACGAGTCAATAACCATTCAGGCTGCAGGTCTAGTTGTTAAGCAGACCAATAGAGATAGACGCACTATGATTAGCAAAAGGAGGGGGTATTTGAGTCGTAAACTAACCATCTTTCTCGCAGTACCGTCCGGTGAGACCTTTTCGACAGTCACAGCTCTGTGTTGAGCCTTGACGAATGCACGTATTATTTTGTTGGCAGAAATTTTCACAGACTGCAGGAAAGAAGCAAAAGATGTCAACTTTTGATTGATTGCAGGCAAGCCTTGAATAGAGAGAGGTGTGGTTAATATCAAAAGCTCTTCCATAGTAACTGCAGCAACAACATTAACAATGCAACAACAGCAACAGTAACAATAGTCCTTTTCACAGTTCCCTGCGCCATCTTGAAAGGTAGCCGTGCCTTTGCATCGAAGCGAGACAAACGGTCAGCTCGTAATGATAGAGGCATGTGAATAATCGTTCAATGTGTTTAAAAAAGGGCCCTATCATTGCAAGCTCACCGTTCGTCTCGCTTCGACGCAAAGGCACGGCTACCTTTCAAGATGGCGCAGGGAACTGTGAAGGGGACTATTCCGACAATAAAAACAACATCAGTTCACAATGCAACAACAGCAAAATTCACAATGCACAATTAATAGCAACACATGCATAAAATACAAGAGACAACTTACTTTTGACGACAACATTGGAATTTGCCCTTGCATTCACACCTACACCATTACTGGCAATACATACGTAAACCCCCTGTGCGCTCTGCTCTTTCTCCAGCACCAGGATCTCTCCACGACCAACTACGTCACTTCCACGTGTCCAGGTAATGTTTGGAGCCGGGTTACCGTGGGCTTTACAGTTAAGATTAATTGTTCCGTTCTCGAAAAGCGTGAGCGTAGATTTGGGCGATTTAGTTATTTCGGGTTGGTCTGAAAGTGGAAAAGTTAAACAAACAATTGAGCTATTATTAAAGATTATTATCAATGAAGTCATTAGTATCTTTTGACATCATCCGTCAGCATCACTTTTATTGCAGCCATTGCCATCATCAGGTAATCATCATCATTCATATCGTCATTGTCAACATATTTAGCAGTCGACACCATTGATGGCGAACTCATTTCTGTCACATTCAATTTGATCATATATTTCTCTCACTTTTTTATATTAGCATAAACCTACTAGCATACTATCGTGAATCCTGCAATCTGATTGGCTTTCGTAATGACTATCTTTAGTGTGAAAGATATCAAGTAGCGAAAAATAAACAAGTGCAAGTCTTTGTTTGAGTTTCTAAAAATACTTTTAAAAACTATTGTAGAAAATACAAGACTGCATCAAGGAAAGGAATAAAGTTTCTCGCCCTGTGATTGATCGAGCGACCAGTGATTCTGAGACGATACTCACTGCTCGAGAGGTGATTATGATGAGATTTGTCCCAAATTTTGTCAGAGTGGAAGTAATACTGAAACGATTTTTTTAAATCCTGAATTTCGTCTTTTCTCTGATATTCAAGTCATACTAAGACATTTATTGCCCTCAGTGATTATTGTGAATATTTACCTCGCTGCTTGAAGACTCGCAGCTCGGTTAATATTCCAACGATAATCACTTCGCCTTCGGCGAATAATTGTTAATTATAAGAATAAACTTACATAGGACATTTATGTATGTTGAAGATGACACCAAAGGACATTCATTGCCATTACTTGCTGAGCACTCATACACTCCATCATGTGACCTCATTAGACTCTGAAATTTAAGGTGATGGCCAATAGGATAGGAAGAGTTAACTCTAACGTTCTTCCAAACAATTTTCATTGGGTCACTGCCTGTGACGTTGCAAGGGAATAGGACTGTTGACCCTTCAGCAATAGACTGGTTTGGAGGAAGCCATGTGATGTTTGGAGGTGCTGAAAATAATTAAATAATATTGGGTTATTTGATTTATTTGAAAGTTAAATGTGCCAACCACTCAACTAACAATCCATGCACTTATTCCCCCGCCTACGCATTCATCCCTCCATCCATTTATTCTTCCATTCCTCCATCCCTCCATCCTTCCCTCCCTCCCCCGTCCCTCCCTCCCTCCATCCATCCCTCCATCCCTCCATCCCTCCATCCTTCCATCTTTCCACTATCCCTCCCTGAAAGCGGTATGTATGGCAACCCAATACCTTTAGTATTCATAAACACAGTTGCATTTTCTCCAAGCCCTACAGTGTTGCCAGGCTGACACCTGTATGTGTTGTTTCCCTCTATTGTACTGTTCATCTGTATCCTGGAGGAACTTGAAGATTGTATTAGTTGATCATTTACGTAAAAATGGTAGTGCGTTGCTGGTGGGTCAGCTTCTGTAGTGCATTCCAATTGCACGAGATCGTTGAGACACACCGTGCTGTTGGACACTGTGATTGATGTTCGTCTGGGTTTGTCTGAAAGATATCAGAAAGGCAGCCTGTTATTAGAAATGAAGGATTTATAATAAATAAAAATAATAATAATAATGATGATGATGATGGAGATGATGATAATAATGATAATAATAATGTGGTTCTTATATTGCGCATTTCACATGCTCTCAATGCGCTTTACAATTATAACCAGTAGAGGACTTTACGGGCTGCATATTAAGGCGCTATTGGCAACCATGCAGCTTACAATCATGAGTATGAATTGTTAGTAGATTAATATTATGCCTCCAAATTGGAATAGGCTGTTGAACCTGGAGACAATCCCCCACTCTTATACGAATAATTCAACAGGCTCTTTTTTTTTCCCCCATTTACTGTTGGTTAGGAAGGGTTGGGATACAGGACCTACGGTTTTAAGTCCTTGTCCGAGAAGACTTGAAGGTCTAACCATTTGTAGATGTAATTACAAAGGCATCACTTTCTCCTAAGCTATTTTAAGACCCTTAGTGTTGGTCCGGCCGAGGATTGAACCACGACCTTCCGCACAACAGACCAACGCTCTTACAAACTGAGCTAACCGCCACCCGGTAAACAAACCAGGTGATCTGAAATAGTGACCTAGAAATGACGTCACGGCAAAACTTAGGTGTCATGACAGTCTGTATAAACAAATATACAAGTTGTTCATAAAGAAAATGGGGGAGGAAGAGAGGATGGGATAGATGAGATGGATAAACACATTTTCAATTAACTTACACAGCACATGTACATATGTTTGTAATTTTGACACAGGACATTCATTTCCATTGCTTGCAGTACATTCATATGCCCCCTGATCTGCAGTGGTCAAGCTTTCAAACGTGACATTCTTGCCACTCGGAAAGGCAGAACCTCCAACTTTTTTCCAAGTAATAGTCATTGGGTCGCTTCCAGAAGTATTGCATTCCAGTACAAGTCTAGATCCTTCTGCAATAGTTTGGTTAACAGTTATCCCTGTTATTTGAGGAGGGGCTGTAAGTAAATGAGAGGAAAATAAGTTTTTTATTGCATAGTCACATAAGAAGAGGAAGGGTTATGAAAACCAGCTAATCTAAAATAGTGACGTAGAAATGACGTCGTCACTTGATCTGAGGTGTCATAAGACATTGGAAAATAGACGACTTGCACCAACAGGTCACGTGACCCAACCTCCCTTAAAACGAGTAGCTGTGTTAAGATGAACACCAGGAATGAAAAGAGCACTTCGATATACGTAGGATGGCGGAGTTTTAGCTCATAAAAGGCGAAGAAGGAGAAGTGGCATTAGATATAAAATTTAATCATATCCTTTTTGTAATCACTACCAAATCCTGCAATCTGATTGGTTCAAAGGAGTGCGATTAATTCCCAAATCGCATCCTTAGGAGCTCTTAATCGCATCCTAAAAAATTATTTTTTTGAAACAAAAAATAAAACAAAATAAAACAAAAAAAATCAACATAAAAAAAATTTTTTAAGATGTTTTTTTTTGTTCGCATTTAGTTCTTCTACTACATTAAATTGATTATTCTGCACTCTTTATTGTGTCTTTTTCTTGTGTATGATTACAAAAAGGATATGATTAAGTGGTAATTGAACTTCGTGTCGTGCAATTTTGGTCTGAAATCAAACTTGCAATTACAAATTTTGTAATCGCGCGTTTGATTTCAGACCAAATTGCACTCCACTCAGTTCAATTACCATCATATATCCAATGCCATTTATCATGTAGTCAACATTATGTGCTGAAACTTCGACCTCTTGTTAATGTTGAGCTGCTCCTTTTAGTTCATTTTCTTTTTAGTTCGTTTTCTTTTTAGTTCGTCAACAAGTCGTCTGTGCAAGTCGTCTACTGATCAGCGAAAAATTAAAAATCAAGAAATACCTTGTGTGATCATTGTTCTGCTGGCATTAACTCCAATCCCTGCACTGTTATTCGTCTTACAAACATAGGTATGAGTGCCTGCTGTTGTACTGTTAAACTGTAGTGTTGCAGTGTAATCGTTTGTTGATGAAGCTAATACTTGGCCCCCCGAGTACAGCACAAGCGTTACCGTTCGTGGGTTACCGCTGGCATAACAACGTAACGATGCCATGTTGTTTAAGCACACTGCAGGTTTTATTGCAGTTAGACTTGCATAATAAGGTGGGTCTGAATACAAAATAGAAAAGTCGATAGCTGTGTCAAGTGGCAAAACAAATGACATCATTTCCCAATTTTTCAATTCATTCAAAGCTAACTAAGGGACCAGTCATTATTTAAGTCGGAGGGGGGAGGGGGTGAAGGAGAAAATAAGGTGCCCTCAATTTTTTTTAGTGGAACATGGGGGGCCTTCAAAGGTCAAA